TTTTATCTTATGTCTTTATGCCCATATTATAATATCTGAGGAAAAATCAAAAATACAAACAGCCTTGGGCGCCTGGGTGGCTCAGTTGGTTAAGCGACTGCCTTCGGCTCAGGTCATGATCCTGGAGTCCCGGGATCGAGTCCCGCATCGGGCTCCCTGCTCGGCAGGGAGTCTGCCTCTCCCTCTGACCCTCCTCCCTCTCATACTCTCTGTCTCTCATTCTCTCTCTCTCAAAATAAATAAATAAAATCTTTAAAAAAAAAAAATACAAACAGCCTTCCCTCATTTTTAGTCTACTAAACCAGGCTGAATTCAGACTGAGTGATGGCAATGGATATATGATAGTATTAGTAGGACTAAGAAAATCCAGTTTACTAGCTCCACACCGATTTCTGCACTTCTTAGGTTTAAACGTATTACATACATCCAAACTCTAATAATTTGCCATTGTTAAGACTCCTTTTACTTCAGTTCCAGAATTTAATGAGAATTTCAAATTGGCAACATTCCAACAAAAATCTAAATGTTGTAATAATAAACTTTGGTACAAGTTTCAGGACTGAGAGACTAAGCCATGGAATTAAGAACTGTAGATAACCTTATCTATGAAACTTCAAATATTCACTTTCTAGATAAATGTTTAGTCAGAAATGATTATTTTTAATTAGATATGTGTATTTTAAACTTTGGTGTCTAAGAGAAAAGAGGTAATCAGATGGAATATGCCAATATTCATTCTCTGGTAGAGATCATCTCTAAGAAATAATCATTTGGGGTTCAGGGGAACCCATAGGACCCCCTAAGGTTCTGCCTAATAGACCTGCCTCTCTATATTTTTCGTCTAGAAATTGACCAAATCAGACTCATGTAACCTCTTGCTTCTAGTAAATCTCCTACTGTTGGGTAAAATAGGCCTGTGGTTCTCCTACTTGTCATGCTAGGTGTACCAAGAATGCAAGGCCCTGATCCCTCTTTTCCAATCCCATTTTCAGAGTTGATCCACCATGGATAACGTTAACAAATGAAATTACCTCCATCCTTGGCCAAAGCAGGTTTTGTTTATTGCTTGATAGAGAAGCAGTGGATTCCCCAACCTCAGTGCTCCTCAGTCACAAATCAAGCCCACCATGTGCTTAGCATACACCTGATCTGTATCGTGTCACTTCCACAGGACCTGAAGTTAAGGTAACCCACTACAAATATGCTGTTGATCCTGCTGCTTGCTATATCATAAATAATAAAGCCTTCTGACCAGTGGTATTCTATTTTCTGCCAGCATCGATGAAACAGTAACAGACTTATTAATAACTTCTAAGTAGGGGAAAAATCGTATCATAGACCCAATATCAATGACAACTCAGTTTTTTAAGTTTCTGGTCAACTAAAATCTATAGAGAACCCAAAAATCTGGAATAAAAAGCAGTTTGGAAAATCCTTGGATTTCTAGATCTGCTTTCATTCTTTGAATAATTTTTTAAATTAAAAAAAAAAAAAGATTCCAAAAGGGCCTCTCAATTTTAAGCTACCTTTCATTTTTCTTCCCACTTCTCCAAAAAAGAAAGTACAACTTTAACAACGCTTTCAAGAGCAAAATAAAGCCTAAATCAGAACCCTGAAGAATTTCTTTCTCTGAATTTATTTGAATCATGGGGCCATATGATAGTTTCCAAGTTCAAAATTCTACACTCAAGAAATCATGTAAGCCAGGAACATGATTCTTGGGGCAACAGTACAAGCTGAGAAGGTGGAAATGTCAGGAAAAAAAAAAAAAATCAATAAGAAACTGTTTATAAAAAGACAGGCTTTAGGGGCTCCTGGGTGGCTCAGTCGGTTAAGCGACTGCCTTCAGCTCAGGTCATGATCCTGGAGTCCCGGGATCGAGTCCCACATCAGGCTCCCTGCTCGGCGGGGAGTCTGCTTTGCCCTCTGACCCTCCCCACTTTCATGCTCTCTCTCATTCTCTCTCTCAAATAAATAAATAAAATATTTAAAAAAAAAAAAAAGACAGGCTTTAAGATAGGACAGAAAAACAAGAGAGAGGACACTTATTAAAGGCAAATAAGCTGATCCAACCTCAGCAGGTGTCCACAAAGCCAAATGTTACATAAATGAAGTCTTGTAAAAAACAATGTGTCAGGGAGGGATAGGTCTTCCAGGGTGGGAGCTTTAGCCCAGAAGAGTGTAAAGATAATAGAAAAGCATTAGAATTCTTGAAATGTTTATAATATGAATGGTTACTGGTTTATTAATTTAATCAATAAGGAGCTACTTAGCTTCTACCATAGGGAAGGACCACCTTTGGGATCAGGGATTAGCTAACCATGACCTGATGGCCAAATCCGGCCCACCACCTACTTTTGTAAATAAAGAGTTATTGGAATACAGCCACACTTAAATTCTTACGCATTCTCTGTATCTGCTCTCACACTACAACATCAGAACTAAGTAGTTGCAGCAGAGACCATATGACCCATCAAGACTAAATTATGATCTGGCCCTTTACCAAAAAAGTCTGAAGACCTGTGCTCTTGATGACAGACATACCATATCAGTTAAACAAGTCACCATCTTCACAGAACTCTCGCTCCAATGGAGAGCAGACAATGAACAAGTATAAACTTAACAATGTAACACATTTTCAGGTACTGAGGTGCTATGAAGAAAAAAAAAAAAGCAGGATAAGGGGAAAGAGTTTCTATATATTAACATAAGGCATCTGCTGTGTTGTACTCCTATGTTAAGGTAATTTATGTTAAAAATCTCACTTCTAAAAGGGCAAATTTCAAAAATAAATTAATGCATTTTCTATTTATGGTTTGTAATTTACCTTTAAGCTAAACTTTAATACTGTGCATCCACACAGGAAAAAACTTTACAGTCCGATTTTCTACCCTACTTGGACTGACTCCATTTAGCAAATAAAATTACCCTCCAGTAGAAAACTTTAATGTCCTCTTACATAAATGGCTGGCTCATGACAAGTAAGAACTTAAGGAAAGAGGTCCTTAAAAAAAAAAAATAGAAAAACTAAATCTGTGTCATAGAATTTTAGAAGTGAAAAAGCTTACAGATACATGTTTGGGAAATAGGGTATATGGGAAATTTCTCTACCTTCCTCCCAATTTTGCTGTGAACCTAAAAACGCTCTGAAAAATTAAAGTCCTAAAAATTAAAAAAAAAAAAGGGGGGGGGCGAGAGGTGGGGGGCGGGGGTAAGAGACTAAAAGATCATTTTGTTTGGCTTTTTGCTTGAAGAAGAAGGACTCGAATCCCAGAGAGGCTAAGTCAACCCAGCTCACCGAACTGGGCAGTGACAGAGGGAGGGCAGGTAGCAAGGTCTTCTGCCCCCAGGCTTCACTTCGACAGAGCCACGCAAGAAGCACCGTGAAGAGCTGCATCCCCAGCCTGTCCCACCCATACTGTAAGCATTAGGAGACCTGAATTCTAGTCTATATTTTGCCACAAACTGTAGTTATTTAGGTTTTTTTTTTTTTTTTAGTAATTTATTTGATAGCACAAGCAAGGGAAGCAGCAGAGAGAGAGGAATAATCAGGCTCCCTGCTGAGCAGGGAGCCCTAAATAGGGCTCAATCCCAGGACCCCAGGATCATGACCTGAGCTGAAGGCAGACGCTTAACTGACTGAGCCACCCAGGAGCCCTAGATTTTTTTTTTTTTTAATTGCAGATTCACATACACCAATTTATTTGCACTGTGTTTTTTAATGCCTTTCCCAAACCCAGAACCCTAGAATGGTAACACTGCAGAGCATAAGGTTAAGAATAAGGGCTCTGGAGCCCAACTGCCAGGTTTCAAATCCTGCCAAGTTCCTTACTCACCCTCAAATAGAGCTGAAACCTAACCATAGACATGGATAAGATCTTGCCCCATGGTGCTCCTCTTCCTACCCGTGTAAAGCAGTGTATATAAAAACAAAACACAGCAACCCTCTTCTTTAAAAGAGGATAATCCTGGGCGCCTGGGTGGCTCAGTTGGTTGAGCGACTGCCTTCGGCTCAGGTCATGATCCTGGAGTCCCGGGATCGAGTCCTGCATCGGGCTCCCTGCTCAGCAGGGAGTCTGCTTCTCCCTCTGACCCTCCCCCCTCTCATGTGCTCTCTCTCTCTCATTCGGTCTCAAATAAATAAATTAAAAAAAAACCTTAAAAAAAATAAATAATAATAAAAAAATAAAAGAGGATAATCCTAGTACCTACCCTTCTAGGGTTGTTGTCAGATTTAAATTAGCTTATACATATAAAGTGCTAGACAGAGCCTGGCATATAGAAATGCTAGAAAATAATACCAGTTACTTAAAAATTTCTACTTTTGAAATAGTATGAGCGGGTAAACAGCTAAGACCTCTAAGCCATGGCAAGGCCTGAGTACTCTACAAACTGCCACTTTGCCATTTATTTCACCATACCTCTAGCTTTCTAATTGCAGCTCCTGACATGGTATAGGAACTCAATACGTTCTTCTGTTACACTCCTCCAAAGCGAACATTTCAGTTGCTACAACCCCTGTTAATTCTAAATGAGGTCCAAATTATTCAGAGGAAATTTAGTAATTAATAAGCAAAGGCTTTATTTAAATGTCTGCTTTGTGTGCAATGCTCCTGGGTCAGCAAACTGATCATCATTTTCAGGGAAAGTGTGTCTGGGGTATGGTAAAGGCCATTTAAATAATAAATATATCAGTGCTGAATACAGTTAAGTAATCGAATGAAATCCTCCCCTATCACAGTACAATCCCACATGAAAAAGTAAATTTTTTAAATCTATAACCATGAAAACGTTGATTACCAAAATAGCAGCTTTGAAAAGATCAAGTCAAATGTGTAAAAGCCAGAAACAGCACAAGGAGTAATGTGTGGGTTTTGGAAAATACAACATAATATTTGAAGCTGTACTTTTTTATAGCTATGTTGCTTTTCCTTACCAGGTGCTCATAAAATCAACAGACTTCAAACTCAACAACTGACAGTCTCTATTTATCCACTGACCTCTGGACCTGGTTCTCTTCAATAAAGATGGGAGAAGAGCTCATCTAAATGAGGAAAAAAAAAAAAAAGCCTTTAACACTACAAAGTTCTTTTGTGAAAAAGAAATTCATTATTATAATATCTTATCTGGAGATGCCATGTTTGCTGGTCTAACTCCTACATGACTCTAGGTAACAGGCAAAGGAGCCATCACTCAAAGTTCACACCTACCACAAGTAGTTAACACATTCCACTCCATGCTCTCTAAACTGCTTCAGGCTTTAGATCCCTGACTTTTCACAATGGCTATTTTGCAGGAAAACATTAGCAACATTTGTTATCAACAGCAATTCCAAGCCCTGTGTGTGTGGGAAAAACTCTTCAATATTGCATTGCTTCCTAATGATTTTACCAACAAGACAGACATTGATGAATTTCACTTCAGGCCTGGAAGAGCACAGTCCACAAGTCAGTATTGAACACTGCACTGGAAAATGGCTGGATTCATTAAGACTCCAGGAAAGTCTCTCATTAGGTGAAGAATAATGGCGTTGGCAGCAATTTTCAAGGCAGGTTGAAAATATCACTTCCAAAAGCAAACCTTTCCACCAAAATGGTAACCAGTTTGCTTCATTATCGATTCCACTCAAAATTAACTATCCAATGCACTGGTTCATGATCATAGACACTTCCAATTGTCATTTCAAGAGCAAACGTTAGCTATAGAGTATCATAACCACGTACAGAAACATGATAGTCCAGTGTTATGGGACACCAATTGTGAAATGCATCAGCACCAAAGGCTATTATGAAATAGATCAATACTTTCATTATTAAACATTAAAAAGGGAAAGTAATACCTTCATGCATATCCGTTTCCATTTTGAAGACCCTTTTAAAAACAAGGCTGAAAATTTTTCAAGGATCCTGATCTCTTTCAGAGCAAGTTACTAATCCTATACTTTTTCTTTACAGAGGGAGCTTTACATGGTCACTTCAATGGGAAAGTTCACAATCTAATCACTAAACATGCTTTCTTTTAAACAGTTCTTAGTAATGATGAAAATTGTTATTTCAAGCACATTCTTGGCCTCCACATAATAATCATTCTGAGTATAGCTGCTTTTACACAAGTGTAAACTATTGTTTCCCGGGGCGGGGGGCCGGGGGGGATTCCCTGTGTTATTAGATATTGTATATCCACGTATCCACACTTCTGAATAAAAATAATTGCACCATAAAAATCCATTCTTGTATACGATTTATTTATGTGCCACTTGAGGGCTGTTGGGCGAAACATGCATTTTATTCACATTATTCATTCTGTCTGGAACTGGGGAGCTTAGCAAGCATCTCTTTCCTTCCTTCCAACTCTCTCCCTGTCCTAAGGGATGGTGAAAGATGGAAGAGCACAACAGAATATAACAGGAATACAAATGTATATATTTTTCAGCTCAAAGTAAGTGTTGGCAACTGAATAGATTGTAAATAATTTCTCCTGTTCCATAGTCCATGGAGTTCAATTTGAACTTGCTAAGAGTGAACCTGAGCAGCTGCCTTTCCTGAAACTCTAATGTATTTTGTAATTTAGGTCAAAATATCTTCAGGCATAGATTAAGTCCAAGAGTAAGGGTATGTATCAGTAAAGTTTGTTTTTAATCTTCCTTGCTCCTCACCCTCTGCCTTATTGCAGATAAGAAATGCAACGTGTCCCATGGCACCTGTGAAAGACCTTGAGGAAGTCGCAGCCACGTCAAGCTGCTGTATGCCAAAAAAACAAAGTGGAGTGAGGGAAAATGAATGGGAGAGGGGAAACGAGAATAGGGAGTATAAGGGAGAAAACGCAAAAGCCTACTCCAAATAAGGTACCCAAATGAGCAAGACTAAAGTTTAAATCTGTTTTCATAATTAACACAGCTGTGCTATAATTGGATTTTTATTCTAATGATGCCATTTAGCTGTGCCTTGAATACTAAAAATGAGCAAAGGATAAGCTTATTGATCACTTATAAATCATTTCTATTTGGGGCTTATTTCCTGATTCATTTTTGAAAATAGGTTTTCATTAACTTATGTATGGTTCTAAGAGTGGAAAGACCATGAAAGGTGATGTGGAGAGAGAAATGAAATCATTTTATACCCTAATCCAGCAGCATTCAACATATTAATATTCCCTGTAGTGTTTGTAAAAGTTTATAATGTGAAAGCTCTACCAGAGATCAGAAACTTAGTGACTGGGCTCAGGCAACTTTTTTCTTTTTTTTTTTCTTAATTCTTCTGGTGACTAAAATATGGAGCCAGGACTGAGAGACACTGCTATAAACCAGTTGCATCATAACAATATCTTTCCTAGGTAAGATCATGAAGACAAAGAGCTTCCATAAAAAGTCTTTTAAATACATCTGCATGTTTTTTTCTGGAAAACGGATGCCTGAGGCAGAAAGGTTCAACACTGAAATAAATTTTACTGTATCTTAACCTTGACTCATAGATATTGATCTGATTTGCAACAATTGCAATAATTGTTTCTTAAACATCTAAGAAGTATTGATTTCAGAAGGTTTACTGAGAATTTAAAACTAGGTATTTTAAAGTATTTGTATGAAACAAGTCGAACGTTGAACTTTTCATTCGGCACATGGGTCACCATTATTTTTAGAAAAACTGAGAAGCAGATAACAAAGCAAGGATTACATGAAGTACTTTAGTTCTGCATAAAGCACTCTCCAAAGCAAAGACAATGGTGATGTAGCTAATCTCTTCGTGACTTCTGGCCCCCCACCCCCAAAAACTGACTTTGAAATAGTGTGTCCAATGTAAGGCAGGCGCTCATAAAAATGAGTTCAAGTATATGTTTGGAGGACAGCACTTTGCTGATCTTGGCATCACACTGGCTGATCTGAGAAATAGCAAGGACAAAGAAGTAGGTAGCCCTGGAGTCAGATGATCTATCCAGCCCTGGGTCACCTGCTTATTAACTGTGGAACTGTGGGAATGTTGTGAGATGTCCTCAGCTGTTAACTCATCTAGTTCCTGTCTCGGTTGTGGAAGTTAAATGAGCTTACAATACATGTCAAATGCCTAGAGCAGTTCTTGGGATGTGCTCATTATTACTAGATGTGCTAGATTATTACTACCTGGTTATTATACAGGAATTGAATGAATAAACGGATGGATGGGAAAAGTTTTCAATTAGCAATAATCGCGCCTCGGATAAACCTCATTGGCTACGATACTGCCACTGCGCAAAGCTATAAACGGATGGATGGATGGATGGATGGATGGAAGGAAGGAAGGAAGGACAGACGGACGGAAGGACGGATGTTTATTAGGAAAAGCTTTAAGTCTTCCAGGTTCTCCTATCCACAAAACTTTAACCTACAAGGTCACATTCACTCACCCCTAATGGGCACTAAAGACAACTTACAAATGGCAGGATAATCCTTGATAGCTGAGTCACAGCAAGAAGCCAGGGATACCAAACAGAAAAGTGCCGAAGAGAAATCGCCTGTATTTCTCAGTTTTGCATAAGCCAGCCCTGCAGGTGCCTGGACTGATGCCCAGACATTCCCAAAGAATTGCTCAAGTAGCATAATTTTCAGTGCCTAAGAAATATAGAGACCAGAGGCCTTGAAAAACCAGGAAAATACTTTAACAGAATTTTAATAGTCATATTCCCAATTTCACTCCATCCATGCCTCTTAAATACCCAAACAGGCTACAGAATTCATTATAGAAGTGTACTAAGATACTGAAAAATATGCAGAAACAATCATCTCCTACTCTCTACTCACTGTCCAACAAGTAACTACAAAAGCCAATTCACTTAACCTCATTTAACTATGTTTACAGCCAAGAGAATCAGGAGGAAAAAAAAGACATTTTCAAATTATCACTGGACATTCAAAGTACTTGTGTTTTAAAGATGAATTTTTAGGGCACCTGGGTGGCTCAGTCATTAAGCGTCTGCCTTCTGCTTAGGTCATGGTCCCATGGTCCTGGGACCAAGCCCCGCATCAGGCTCCCTGCTTGGCGGGAAGCCTGCTTCTCCCTTTCCCACTCCTCCCTGCTTGTGTTCCCTCTCTCGCTGTCTGTCAAATAAATAAATAAAACCTTAAAAAAAAAAAAGATGAATTTTTACAAAAGTGATGACATTGCTGTCAAAGATCCTCATTACTGGAATCCATCATAGGGATTATTACTTAATTCTAACCTAAACACAGGAGGAATTCCATGGGGCTCAAGAGCCACTCTGCTTCAAGGAATAGCCAAAAGCACATATTAAAAAAAAAAATGGATTCCGATACTTAATGCACCTCAAAGTACTTCAAAGAGATTCTAATTTTAAACTCACAGTCACACTTGTGAAATTCTCTTTTCCTCTCCTTTCTACTTTTCTCCTGTTCTCAGACTACTCTGCTCTTCACATCTCTCTGGCCCTAGAAGGTTCTGGTTCCCTGTTCCCACATCATGGAGGTCACTGGATCCAGTCTCCTCTGCTTCTGGCACTTTCCTAGCTCACAGATCATCTTCCTAATTCTTCAGAACAGAAGAGACCGTAGGAGCTGAGCAGCCAGCAAGTGTTCTTCCAAGTAAGTGATTTGGAAAGGTGAGGAAGAGGGAAAAACATTTCTTTCAAGATTTAGGGTAAGTGGCTTCTACCACTGCAATCACACATCCCCCCAAATACTGATAGAGTTTCAAAGGTTTGAAGATTTCACTTCAAATTTATCAATTGTTAACTTTGATTTATATTCTTCTAACCTATTTAACACTGTCATCAGGTGTGTGGGTTTGGTGTTCTTTTTTGGCTTAGCATTTTGAAGTTTTCTTCCATAACAACAGTTTATAAGTTTTTAAATGGCACCTCAAATAGTTGTTAAGTTTCAGATATTGGGACATTTACATAAAGCACGTTCTCTTGTCTTCCTGGTACTATTCCATATTTTCACCTATTTTTTTTATTTCATCAACAGCTTCCTTTAATCAAAATAATTTATTCGAACTTTCACTTAATTTTTCAAGTAATCCCTCACTTTTCTCTCAACACTTTGGAAATGAAGAG